AAACATCCAAGGTTCCCAGAGGATAAATCCTACTGACTTTGATGATCGTCTGACTTTTCCTCAAGCACCACGAGCAGGTTCAGCTTTTTGGTTCAGAGTGCCATCATCAGGTCATCATTTTAATAATTAAAAATTAATGACAATCCCATCGACTTTAACTGTACTTTGCACTGATGAAAGCACTGATGTTTGCACTGTGCAGAGATGACAATCAATACTATATATTATAAATAGTTCATGTTCACATATAAAGAAAGACTGTATTTCTCACATGTACGTAGTAAATTGTTCACATTTGTTGCCTCAACAACAAAGACCCTCTCGCCAATTATTACATTTATTTTTTTAAAACTTACACAAGTTAATAAGTAAACCAATGTTAAAATGTGAGGCATCACTGCATATGGAAAGCTAATCCCAAGATCTGTTTGACTTGTATAAATTCTGATACTGCTGGCCACAGATGAAAGATACACATATTTATAGGTATAATCATTTTGCATTATACTAATGATAAGGTGAAAACTGATTTAACACTTCCCACACTTCCTTAATGTCTGTTTGCCAAACTCTTATCACTACCCTTGACTTTGACTGATAACCCTCACATGACTCTGATAAGATTTCAATTAAATGTTATGTTGTGTATTGAAGTAATTTGTGGGTTTTTTGCACCTCTGATATAATCGCCAGAGTTACAGTTGTGTAAGCAGCTCAGCGTTTTGTTGAGCTACAGGGAATTAGTAATCCTGCTATAAACTAATCATTATCTTATCTGGTTATCTGGTTTTGCAATTCAGAGAACCAGCGCTGGTTGCTCCCACACAATGAAACGTACTTGAAGAACTCCTGGCTAGCCGTGGAGGAGTAGCTGCTGTTGGTGGCATGGTTGGTACAGTTTGGTGTGTTCCAGGTATTGTTACAGTTCTGCCACGGTAGCGTTGCCTGGAAGGAGCTGAAGAGGTAATAGAGGGCCCAGGTGATGACGACGTTGTAATAGGTGCACATGATGAAGGAGATGGCCACCGATGCCATGCCCACTCCTGAGGGCAGGCAAAAATAATGTCAAAATAATGTTTTTTGCAGTCAGTGTCTGTTTTTGTGTTTGGCTGTAAAATGTCATTCATGCCACAGAGTACCTTTCAACAGTGGGCAGACGATAGCCAGGGCATGGACAGGCCCTCTTCTTGTGTACTGACCCACAGTCAGCTCCATGTAGAGCAGAGGGATCCCCAACACCACCAGCATGAGCAGGTATGGCACCAGAAAAGCACCTGGCCGGAAGTGATGGCAAGTTAACTGTCACCCACATTATGCTAGCAAAGGAGATTTCCACTGTGCTACTTTTATGGTATCCTCTAATCTTTAACTTTTGTGAAAGTCATCCTGCACTTGCATTTTCCTCCTTATATCTTAGGTAATTTGTAATAGGCATGTGAGGTATCCTCCATAAAATGTTTATCTTTATTATTGTAAACTAATCCTTCCAACTGTACATGCAGAGTACAGTATGGCCGTGTAACACATATTCTTACATGAAATGCACACTGAAGTCATTTCTGAACAACCTGAACAATTTTCAACACAATCAGTATCGCTACAGAACAAAGTGTTTGAAGCATGCCTCACTAACGGCACAGTTTGTTAACCTTTGGACCCAGTTTTGAGATCTGTGCATACGTGCACGAGGGTGGTCTGATTTCTCAGTTCTGTGGATGAAATGTCAGCTTCGTTTCTCACCTCCTCCACTCCTGTAGCAGAGATAAGGGAACCTCCAAACGTTGCCCAGACCCACAGCGCAGCCGATGCCAGCCAGGGTGAACTCTATCTGCCTGCTCCATGTTGGTCTGTTGAGCTGTTCCTCCATGTCTGCTCCCTGTGTCACCACTGTCGCTCCTCTGGGCCCAAACTCCATGGAAAGGTTGGTCTGAATTTAAGTGACTCTGGGTGATATAACCTTCCTTTTTATTATCCTTAATGATTAGCTTAGCAGAAGCCACTCCAGCAGCTCCCAGGTTCACAAAGGGGAGAGTTTGTCTTAGTTAATAGGTGTCATAAAACGATCAGATTTTGATTTTGAATAACTTATGAAAATACACAAGGATTTAATAAGTTTGCAGAATTTTTATTTTGAAAGCTGATTCTTTTTGCCCAAATAATGAGCATGTTACTGACCATTACTTACTCTGTTAAAAGAAAAAGAAATAATTTTTACCAAAGCAAAATAAAATACAACTCTTCAGGCTGGATACAAAAAGGCTAAATTCTTATTCTTAACATTTTTCACATAATTGTGCACCAAGGGTTAGGGTTAGGGAAACTTTTAATTTTGCATCAACAATACATACAGCATTTAGTCAGCGATTATTATCTATGGAGTTAAGAAGCTTAGTCAAATAAAATAGACAGCACTGACCTATTAAATAATTTTTAATCATAAATTATTACTTTGAATATTCTTATGTATTTCTAACATTTCATAAATTCCACAAGCTTTTTTTAGGCCTTTTTTTATTTGATAGTGACAGCTGTAGATAGACAGGAAAGGGGGCAGAAAGAGAGGGGATGACACACAGCAAGGGGCCACAGGTCGGATTCGAACCCAGGCCGCTGCAGCAACTCCATACAAGGGTCGCCAGCTCTACCAACTTTTATGACTAGATTGCTACACATGAAATGAGAGAAAGTTACACAATTTGTTCTGAGCGACACGTTCTGTAACACAGATTTCAGGTGGGGGTCATCATGGTCAAACAAGCCACATTCCTATAGCGTAACCTTTATTATCATAATGGTTATTTTATTGCTTTATAATTGTAAAGCAAAGATATAGTGGCCCTTTAAATATGTAACCACGAAGAACAAAAAGCAAAACCACACTGCAAGCTTTCTAAAATGCTTTTATCAATGACCACTCTCTGTTTGCCCTTGTCTTTGCAATTAGTCTCATGTCCCTGTTGGATATTTATGGATTTCCTGTATTGTCCCATATCACTTATGGGAGATCAACATATTTATCATGCTGACATTTTAGAGAAAACATTGGCACCATTTGGCTAATTGAAAAATGAATATTATCAGGTGATTGCCCTCAAAATAAAAGTCTCACAACACTTGCAGGGAGTCAGCTATCAGCAGGAAGCCAAGTGACTGGATATTGGACCACATTCTGCTGACAACAGTATCAATATACATGGCATATAAACACTGAGACGGTACGATGGGCCAGGCAAGATTAACTGGGTCACATATAGGCAGCTGGAAAGAAACCAATATGAAACATCCTGGGCGCCCAGTTAGCTCAGTGGGTAGAGCTGGCGACCCATGTACCAAGGCTGTCCTTGCTGCAGCGGCCCAAGGTTCGAATCCGACCTGCGGCCCTTTGCTGCGTGTCATCCCCTCTCTCTCTCTCATAATAAAAAATACACTTATAAATATGAAACATCCCCATGGAGTTGGGTTAAAGAGGAAACACAGCTGACCAAGAAAAGAAAAGGTGCAGTGGTGGACATCACTGTGCCACTGCCAAAGCCAACTCTGGAGTATGGAGGAGAGGCAGACAATAAAAGGTAAAACAGTGGGGATGAGGGATAAGGGAGACATCAGATAAGAGTAATCCTATAATCCACTTCCTGTTGTGATGAGTATAAGACAAGCTCACATCCATTTTGAAACTGAGTGAACTACAAACCTCAAACTGATGTCAGCAGCGGTGGAGATGAGCTGGCCTTTTTCTGAAGAATACCAGGATGTCAGTCATCCAACAGCTGCAGGCCATGTACCCTAATCTAAAAGTCTTATCCTGGTTGAGCCACATAGAGCTCCCCTAACAGATGAGGGTGCCAATATAGCTGTTTAGTTGCTGAACATCATAATAACAAAACTGAAAAAATCTGATCTGTAACGAAAACCCTGAGTTGAAAGATATGGATTGATGCTAGCATCTGTGCAGTATGAAGAGAAGCAGAAAATGACATGGGAGAGATTCTGTTACATGCTGGCCACTGTGACACTTGTTTGTCTGTGGGCCACCTGCTGGATGGAGTGGGTACATCCTGACAGTCAGTATACAACCTATACTGTAGCTCAGTTTAAGGGTGAACTTATTTTTGAAAGACAGGATGTTGAATTAAAACATCTGGATACTGTCCATGGCTGTCTTTTATTGCCTTCTGCAGGGGTGTTTCATTTTAATAGGGTTGTTCTTGAGGACCGTTACCACTACCCTTACTCGGGCCTAACATTGGCCAGAAGCTCCTGTCTTTGTGAAAGATCGGGGGTCCAGCAGTACACAGGATTTAATGCTCAGGAATGTTTGTGACTGCAGCTTTAAGGTATTGTGCCACCTTACTAGAGGCTGTGGTGTGGGATATTCACATGCTGGCTGTAGAGGAACAGTATGGAGTTGTGATCCAGGACTGGTCCCAGTCGGTTCCTGCCCTGGAGCATGTCTTGTCCTTTTGTACTGCAGCAGCAGCAGTACTCACGCATCCATCTGTCAGCCATATGGACAACATCAGAAGGACACAGATATGGAGTAATTGAAGAAACAATATACACCATCATAAACTAAATGAAGCTTAAAGAACTAGAAAATTGGTGTTCACATCATCAATATGTTGAATTATGAAACATTGAGACCCAGCTGCTTCACCATGCATACAGAGGCAGCTGCTGAGGTGTAAGAAGTGGCAATCTCTAAAGTTTGTGAATTGCCTGGAAGGTAGTCATGCAGGCCAGGTTTTATATTCTGATTACAGGTGTTGGTGAAGGTCAGGGTGTGTCACATCTTCTCTGCATGATTACAGCCCATCAAACTTGACTTTAAGAATGAAGACCAAAGATTGTGATTGAGTGTATACTTGCTTCTGTGAATGCAACAGATCAGTACAAACTGCTTTGAATATCTGTGTTTGCACTCATCCCCAGGAAGGAGTAAAATCAGTTCAAGCTTTTGACTAGATTGTGCTTGTTCTGGTCGTTAAAATACTATACAGATTTCAAAGAGATAAAACTGTCGCAATCACACTTATCTCTAACCGTGTTAATGATACCAAAGGACATAATTACTAGGTGAGCTACACACAACAAGGCTGACTACCACAAACACACGTCTCTCTTAGGAAAATTACAGCGACTCTTGTTTAGGTTACTTGCGTGATAGGAAATTTAAACAACCACGCCCATTTCATTATTATGATATCGTATCCCTCTGCTGTGGAGGAGGGGCAGAATAGGGGAGGGGTATCTGAGCAGCTTGTCAAGTGACAGCAAAAGAAGCACAGAAGTAAGACAACGTAACCTTCACAATAAAATAAAAAAAGCTCGTCCTCGTAAACATTACTTTTATTTTGAAACTCGTAAACGGACGTGTTACGTCTTGTTACGCCTGATTTGACGCAGCCGTTGCTCGACTCTCGCGTAAAAAAAAAAAAAAAAAATCATCGATAAACGAGAGTTGGTGGGGGGAAAAAGAAGGAAAAGAAAAGCCGTCATATCGCTATTGTGTGCTTCCAGTGGGTTTGGATACGCGTGTTTTCTGTCGGTAAAATGGGAAACTGCCACACCGTTGGACCGAACGAGGCCCTCGTGGTTTCAGGTAACGTTGACGCTGTTTGGACGAGGTGCTTTAGCTCCTCGACCTCCTTCCTGCCTCCTGAGGCTCGGTGGAGACATTATCTTACGAAGACTAACCTGGAAGAGAGTTAACTCGCTCCACTAACCTTTAATCACAGTGTAACTCATATGTGTGTCAAACTGTATGTCAGAAGACAGCAGTAAGGGCGTAACGTGCAGCAAAAACAGCTAACCACCCATTTGACGTGCACCCATCCTCCAGAGAAAAGATACCGCAGATTTCCATGTTTTTTCCCCGCAAGTTTTAATAAGTGTAATATGTAAATGGGGAAAATGTGTGGTTTCGTGTCAGAATAATAGCAGCTGAGACCAGCCATAATATGCTATAGTACCAATGTGTATGCGTTTATCTTGAGAAATATTTCTGTAACGTTCTCATATTTAATCCAGCTGTTTTCTCTCTTTAACATCCTTCTAATGTGTATTACATTGCTGTAATTCATCTTCAGGTGTTCTCTATTAACATATAACATTTTAGCAGTTGGGATTATGTTGGTTTTGGTTCCTCTTCCGTTCGTACGATGTTGGGGTTTTCAGGTTCATGAAACTGCTTTCACTGGTGCAATTCATCATGATAAAGCAGCAGCAGCAGCAATTATAGAGCAAACTGTAGGAAGACAGATGTTCATTTAATGTCACATTGTCCTGAACAGTGGTGGTAGGAGATGGAGGCTCTCTGCTGCAGGAGGTGCAAACTCAGAGTTTTGTTTAAAAGCTTTGACCCCACAGACTCTCTATCTTTGTCAGACTCTCTCTTATGTTTAAGGAGTCAACTCTCTGATAACAACACTCATTCTGTACAGTGTGTCACTAATTTCTATCTTATCAAGCAAAAGTACAATCAAAATAATTTATCACACATTCTCCGTGGGTCTGATATGGATCCCTGTTGGACCACACTTTAGGATTTACTGACCTTTGCCTCTGTTTGAAAATCTTGCCTTTTGTTTATTTATAAATGGGGTTTGACAGTCTTGTGATTTAAAAAAAAAACCGGCTCAGGGATTTTCCACTGTGAACAAACATTTTAAGAGCGTGTGAGTTACCACATAGAGGAACGTAGTTTGGGAGCAGAGTTGAGTGGGTGTGAGCTGATTCACAAAACAGTAATTTCACAAATGTGAAAAGAAAGCGCTTCTGCATTTATAGGAGGTTGTAATTTGTTCTTAAAGAGTAGGGCCTGCTTTACTCTATAAGAATAAAAACATACATGAAGATAATTGATGTTAATAACAAGATTTTAGCTTGTATTTTTAGCTTTTAGCTTGTGTAAATTCTCATTCATTCAAACACAGCCCTCCCCTCGCCACAGTGGCGTGAATGCAGCTGGGAATCTTAGTTATGTCCATGGTATACTAGAGTCGCTGGGGTGTGTGCTCTGCCTATTACCTCTGTAGTTGGCAATGGTATGTGGCTGAGCTACATTCCTGCATTAAAACGGCGCTTCTAATCTTTACATAGATTATGTTGGAACAGAACGACAACAACAAAAAATCATAGTATACATTGTGCTATTAGTCCTATATAAGTATATAACTATAAGTCCATATAGTTAGACGCTACATATAAGATATTGAATTGTTTGAGGCAAGTTCGAGGGGAAACGTGGCAATCTAAAGACACACATGATGACCGCTCAATAGGTCATCATTATGAACTCAAGCTCATAGTATTTCTTAGTTTTCCAAGTATTCTTTGTCCTTTTCCTGGTCTGCACATTATAGTGCTCCTGTTTCCTGTGGGATATTGTTCAGTCATACCAGGAAAGTGCATTATTTGTCTAATGTGAAGAATGGCAGAGGCCACTGTTTCAGATAGTTTCACAATAGTATCCCCATAGAAGTGTCTTTTAACAGCAACTCCGTGATGGAAATGTTGAGAAAACGTGTTTTAGATGTGGGTCAGTACGTCCTGCTGTAATTTCTAGTTGTTGGGGAGTATGTGTCAGTAAAGATAGTCCAGCTCCTCCCCCTCCTCTGTCTCTCAGTTAACGTGTAACAGCTGGGAATGTCACACTAAACACTCGAGATTAATCAGACGGGGGCCGATGAGTGGGAATAACGTGTGCTGCCTAGCCTCACTTACATTGTATCTAGAAAGATCCCACATTCACTGTAAAACTATTGCCATTATAATTTCTATAAATTGGGAGGGAAAGGATGTTTCTGTTGTGTTCAGCATGTAGTTAATGTCCCAACAGGACAAATAAAGGTGTTTATAGTGTATTATCTAGAAAGAAGTGTTTCTCTCAGGTGTTAATGGTCTTTATAAGCATCGTCAGGACAGTTTATTTTATGTATGAGCTGAATAAAGGGTTCACATTTAATCACATGAACCACTTCAATTAGATAAACCATATGCTGCACTGACTTGCTGTTGTGTTGGAGTAGATTGACGGTGGGAAAGGCATTGCTCACACAGTGTACACATACACACAC